AAATCAATATCTGAAGCCTCTAAAGATGCTAGAAGACTGAAGATCAGAATGGTTTTAAGCTGAATATAATAGTATCAAAACTTTGTATCTTCTACCTCGAGAAGGTGGTGCAGGAGCAGCTTTTTGTACAGTGATGTTGACCATTCCTTCATGTGAACTTTGGGATATTGCTATTGGAATATGTTTCCAAGAATACCCCTTAACAGATCTATTCTCTCCTGCTCTATAAATTGAAGACTTGGAAGCTTGAAGAAATGTTGCTTATGGCTAGAAGCTCATAGATTATTGTTGAAGTAGCCATTGAACACAAGAGAGAAAGATAAAAGATTGTTGATTGTTGTTGATACAAAGGATTATCACTCAACACAGCAAACAAATTAACATGTAGCAAGCAAAGATGAAGTTGTTACTACAAGTGTGCACAAACAATGAATATGCTAACACCATATGAAACTACTCAAGTGAGACATTATAAGTGAAGCATAGTATCTTAGTTGAGCTTGATGGTTAATTGGAAAAAGCATTATATGCTCAAGAAAAGAGTATAAGATGTTGCAAGCTGAAGTTTAAACGAAGAATGCTCAATGGAGAAGAAGGTGAAGCAGAATGATGAAGAACGTACAACGATGAAACATGCTAAAGCCATGTGAAAATCATCAAGTGAAGCATCAATAAGTGAAGCATAATAACTTAGTTGATCTTGATAGTTAAGTTGGAAGAAGCATCAACTACTCAGAAAGGAGTATAGAAGCTTAAAGCTAATGATAAGAAGCTGCAGTGCTCATAAGAAAGCTTTTAAGCAAATACAGAACTAGGGAGCTTTATAATCTCTTAGAGATTTATTTTTAGATAGTTTTTATATTAGAAAGCAAGGAGTTGTTGCTCAAAACTTGCTAATGTACTTCAATTGTGTAATCAGCTTGTAAGAAGCATATATAATGCACAAACAAAATCCTTGAAAAAGGTAATGTTCCTTGAGTGGTTGAATGGTGACCAGAACGCTCGAGAGGGCCAAGTCGTGGTTTAGCGGCTTGGAGGATGTTTCCTTGAGAGGTGAATGAATGCCAAGATTCTCAAGAAAGAAATGGAGGGTTTCAATTGTGGTTGTAATCATGTTGATTATTAGTGGATTAAGTCCTTGTGATAAGGCGAAATCACCTTGAGGGGTGGGCTGAAGTAACTTCGTTAACAGTGAACCAGGATAAAATAATTGTGTTCATTTATTTTATTTACTTGTTAACGCAATTGATTTAAATTTTGCAAATGGGGACGAAATATGAAACCCAAATCAAACTCCCCTTTCTTGTGTTTCTCAACCTTCAGTAGGAAGACATTACTTTTAACCACAATTGGAATTCCAACCGTGGTGAAAAGTGACGTCTAGTCAATAATTCAAATCCCAACACCAACATTTTTGATTTTTTACTTATTTTTAAGTCACTTTTCACCACAATTGGAATTCCACTCGTGGTGAAAAGTTTGTTTGGTCATGGGTTCGAATCCCATCACCAAATTTTTTTATTTTTTACTTATTTTTAAGCCACTTTTCACCATGGTTGAAATTCCAACTGTGGTGAAAAGTGGCACCTTCTTAATATTTTTAAAGATATATAATGCTCTTAGTTCATTCACTTTTTCTCTAGACGTACTTAAATAAACTTCATCTTTTGACTCCAAACTTCTTCCATTTAAGAAACATTGTTCCTCTACTAAAGCAAACTTGAAAACATCATTTCTTCCATAAATGAAACTCAAAAATATTTCTCCCATTAACATGTTTCAGAACCCCATCATATCTTCTTCAAATTGAACAAGGCATGAAAAACATGGATTCAACTTAGCAACATTATTTGTTATTGTTGTGTTAGGTAAAATATTCTTGTTTAACGATTCTATTTATTTGTTTTGTTGTTTTTGTTGTTCTTGTTGTTTTCACTGTTGTTGTTGTTATTGTTATGGTTCTTGTTGTTGTTCTTATTATTGTTCTTGTTGTTGTTCTTGTTCTTGTTCTTGTTGTTCTTGTTTTTTTTATTGTTCTTGTTATTGTTCTTGTTGTTTTTGATGATGTTCTTATTGTTGTTCTTGTTGTTGTTAGATTTATTGTTGTTGTTATTATTATTGTGTTAAAAATATTTAATATTATATTTTATGATGAAAGTTTTCAATGTAGTAGGACAAAACATTGGACAAAATTTAAAAAAAAAATGTTGAAATACCTATCACCACGGGTATTTAAAATAACTGTGGTTATAGGTAACGCGTTTTCCAGATTTTCACTGAATCGTGGTTGTAAATAACCCACATACAATCACATCCTACCTAATAACGGTTGTTCAACCATTATTATAGATCTTCTACATCCGTGATTATATGTAGAAACGAGGTAAAAAAAAGTATGGCTCTTCTTGAATGGTAGAAGATTAGGAAAAAAGTATTCAACGGAGGTAAAAAAAACCTTCTCCCGGTTGGGATATTCATCAAACTTCGGAGTTTCCTATGGGCATAGAAGGTGTTGAGAGCGGTCGTTCTATTTCTATGAGTTTCTTGAGGACTTCAGAGTGGTAGATATTTTTAAAACTTTCAAGCCTTTCTGAGAGATTTTTGAAGTCGTTATTCCTTTCAAAAGGAATAAGTTCGGGAAAAGGGTTGGGTTTGCTAGATTCAGTGGCATTGAAGATATCAGAATGCTTGTTGTATCTCTGGATAATGTATCTGTTAGGGAAAAGAAACTTCATGTCAATGTTCTAAGGTTCAAAAGGAGGGTTGGTTCATACTCGGGACATACTGGCGTTAAAGGTAGAAATGGGGTTTCGTCCATGGTGTGGTCCTGCTTTGGGGAGGCCAAAATTCTTGAATAATAAGGTTGGGAGTAAAACCTTCGCTGACATGGTAGGTAGGAGGGATTTTGGGAGTAATTTTGGATCTAACAGCAATCTAAATGTCATTCTGGTCTATTCCACGAAAGAGGAGGAGATAGAGAGATTTAAGAAAGCTTCTGTCGGGTTTGTGGTTAATCCTGGTTCTTCGTATAATATTCAAACTCACTTTGAAATAGAGGGTTATTTCTCTATTAAAGTTACTACTTTAGGGGAAAATATATGCCATTTGTAAGAGATGGAGTCAGAAGAGATTTTGGACCTCATTAGAGAAGGCAATTCATGGTGGAGCCACTAGTTTTCTGAGATTAGACCTTAGCGCAAAGAAGATGTCGAAAAAGATAGGGTAACTTGGATCAGGTGTTTTGGTGTGCATTGTCACACATGGAATCATTCTTTCTTAGAGTTCCTGTCAAAATCAGTGGGAACATTACTTTGTCTAGACAATAATACGATGAAGATGGAATGTTTGGACGTTGCTCATTTTCTTGTACACACCAGATGTGCGGTTGTCCTCAATGATAACTTTTGTATCAAAATCAATAAAGATATTTTTACTATTAAAATGTCGTAAGATTTGCATGCTCTGATGCGTATAAACATGCGAAAGTAGATGGACTGCTCTCCGGCGGTGTCCAGCTCAGATGGTGAGGAGGCTTGGGATTTCTCAATGTCTGATGGGGAGGAAGAGGGAGTTCCGAAGCAGGTTCTAGAGCACATTGCTTCAGAGGATGGAGCAGACGCAAGTCTTGAAGAGGGAGAGATTTTGGAACATGTGCATCTGAAATTTCATAGAGAAAAGGTTGGGAAAAGGGGAGGTAGGATTGCTAGCAGACAGGGTACAGGGCTTACAAAAGTGAAAAACAAAAAGTTTAACTTTAACCAGGCTATTGTTGAAGCTACAACTATGGTGGCATGTCAATCTTTAGATGGTCTAGGCTCTAAGTTTGTTCGCGTGAGTAACGATCTAGTTAGCATTGACAAAGAGGGCAGTCCTCTAGATGACGTGGACGTGTTGCTGGATCCTACTGATCATGTGAAGGGGTTAAGAGTGAAACCTTTTCATTCAAACGGGCCAGATCAGGTTTTGTTGGGTCTGGTTAACAGGTTATTGTTCTTGAGGCCTAATTATCATCAGGGGTCCAAGTTGTCTATCTCAAAGGAAGACGGTTTCTCAAACTCAGCATCCTCGGTTCCTGATAGTGTTGATACTATCCTACCTTTTACATCTTCACAGAATCCTTATTTCGTTTTGGCCCTTTTTCCCGCAATAAAAGATAAATTTAAGGCTACTGAAGACGAATTAGCTTTTCAGGTGGGGAAGCTTTGTGTTGCGAATCAACCGATGATTCAGATATTTGTCAGGGTAATGCGAGGTTTTCGGAGAATTTGGAGTCGAACATAGGAGATAAAGTCTGGAAAGATGTTTCTAGGTTGGGGTGGTTCCAAAGGTCAGGAGTATGGATTACAAAAAAGAAAATTGAGGAGATGAAGGTGAGGGAAAAAATGTATAGCGGTCTCGAAGGGGTCGAACAAGAAGGGAAAATGATTGTTGGATCTTTTAACATAAAAGAGGGTGGTAGTCGTATCAAGAGCACGGGATTGGAGATATTATAGAGGAAGGTAAAGCAGATGTGTTTTTCATTCAAGAAACTAAGTTGAAGAGCATTTATGAGAAGTTAACTAGTAGCTTTTGGCCTCAGAACAAGATAGGATGGTCTTTCTCAGGTTTAGTAGGATTATCAGAAGGTCTATTGATTTTATGGAAGGAAGGATTTTTTGAACCTATCCTCTCTTACAAAGGGGATGGTTACCTGGGCTTGAAGGTTTTGTGGAAGGGTCTTTTTTACTATTTTGTTAATGTGTATTCTCCCTGCTGCTTGGCTAAGAAGAGAGAGTTGTGGAAGTCAATCATCAAGTTGAAAAAGGATTTCGGTGGTGGCGATTGATGCGTGGGGTGATTTTAATTCGGTGATAAATCCTAAGGAAAGGAAGGGAAGTAATGTCATGGGGCATAGGAATTATGAAATGCTTTTATTCTCAGATTTTATCGAAGAAGCTCAACTTATCGATCTTCCGTTTAGAAGTAAGCCTTTCACCTAGTTCAGTGGTGACGGTAGGGAGATGAGTCACATTGATAGATTCCTGTTATCAGATGCTTTGATCGATCATTGGAATATAGTAGGCCAATCCATTGGCAAAAGGGAGTTGTCTGACCATTTCCCGATATGGATTACCATCAATGCCGACAATTGGGGGCCTAAACCGTTTAGGTTCATGGACTGCTGGTTGGACCATAATGGTTTTGCATGTTTTGTAGAAAATGAATGGAATAGTTTTGCTATTTCAAGGAGGAGCGGTTTTGTGATTATTCAGAATGCTTAAAGCTAGGCTTAAGATTTGGAATTCGGAGATTTTCGATTTAGTTTCTATAGAGGTTAGGAAGAACAGATCTTAGATAAATTATACCAGTGCTCTGTTAGGTAGTTGTAAGGAGGGCGAAATGGATGATCTTGCTGCTAGTAGGAGTAAAGCCATTAGTGATATGTGGAAGAAGCTAGAGACCCAAGACCGTTTATTCATTATCAAATCTTGTATTAGGTGGAAACGTGAAAATGACATTAACAATTCGTATTTCCACTGTTTGATGAAAGGTAAGCGCAGGAGGAATTCCATCGGTTCAATTAATTCTGACCAAGGTTTGTGCGCTACTATCAAGGATGTCAAGGATGAGGTTTGGAGGTACTTTTCTAATAAATTCATGCAACCTGACACAAGTAGACCTTTGATGGATGGTGCTTATTTCAAGCGTCTTTTAGGGGAGGATCAATCGTGTCTTGAAGCTGGATTCTCAGATGTGAAAATTAAGGATGAAATTTGGAGTTGCGAGGGTTCGAGATGTCTAGGTTCTGACGGTTTCAGCTTCACTTTTATTAGAAGGTTTTGGTATTTGTTGAAGGATGACATATTTAGGTTCATCAAAGATTTTCATAGCAAAGCAAAGCTTTCGAAGGCGCTTACCTCATAGTTTCTGACATTGGTTTCAAAGAAGTTTGCTCCAGAAAGTTTGGACGACTATAGGCCCATTTGTCTAGTGGGAAGTCTTTACAAGATTTTGAGCAAAATTTCGTGAAGAAGGTTGAAGACCATTTTGAACCCGCGGTCAGACGCATTTTTTTATTGTATCAATAGTTAGAGTACCCCTAATACTCATTTTCATTAATATAATCTTTGCTTTAGAAAAAAAAACATTCATTAAATATTTGTCTAATAAAGAGGATTTTCACTGAATTTCTGTCAATCCTCACCATTAAATCATCTAATTTTTTTTTACTCAAACTTCTCTTTCTTACTATCTGTTCAGATTCAATGGGAGGTTTATGTCACGGGAGAGAATCCCCTTCCATCTAATAAAATAGAAACACATATTATTATTGGTGTCATTGAATATCTCATATAAAACCTCCTTTCATTCATTTATAAAAAAAATTGTTTTTTAAATTTATTAAATAAATAATACTCCTTCGATCTTAAAATATAAGTCACTTTATAAAAAAAATTGTCAAAATTATAAAAAAAAAAATTACGTCATATCCCCACAATTATATTCATACATTTAGAAATTAAACTTTTAGACAAAAATACCCCTATATAAACATCGATAATTTCAAAATGTTCACTTTTTCCCTATTTTATCCTAGCAAGAGCAGTAAAAAATCTCAAATTACATTTCACTTTTTTCTTCATTACAATCCTAATATAACATTAGTGACATTTTTTCTAATATATTCTCTACTATTTATTTCTCTTTCTTTTTTTATTTCTATTAATTTCTCTTTTCTTTGTAGTTAATGAAAGACAATAGTATAAAATCATACATAATTTATTTTTTTCATATAACATTGAATATGTTTTTTAATTTGTGTGAAATGTTCAAAACCTTTTATATTTTGGTTTGGAGGGAGTATATTTAAACAAAATATTAATTATTTAATTAATTAAAAAACAAACTTTTTTAATAAATAAGATCATAGTAGTAATATCTAAGGACATCGTTTAACACTTCCATGCAAAATACCAAACAACTTTTGACATGTAAAAAATGGTGGCATTTAAGTTTCATCAGCGTCAATGATAAAATGTATATTATCTTATTATTATAGTGGTTAAGACAATAAATTGCATGTTTGCATTTCTTGCAACTGTCCCAACTTTATATTCACTTTAATTTTACTTATTGTTGCTAAATAACATTAAATATTTTATTTTTGTGATAAAGTTAAAATACACTTTAAAGTTCGTAAAATATATTTTAAGTCATATATTAATGTTGTTTGTTAGGTATAGATAAGTTTTTAAGAATTATTATTATTTTGTCTAAAAAAATATAAAAATAAAAATAAAAAGATCATATGAAAACAACTGATTCTATTTTCAATATATATATATATATATATATATATATATATATATATATATATATATATATATATATATATATATATATATATATATATATATATATATATATATATATATATATATATATATATATTTTTTAAAATATAAAACATATCATTCATTTTTATGTGACAACATAAGAATAATTCATTAGATTTAGAGCCTGTTTGTTTTGATCTTTTTTTAAATGATTTTTATAGTGTAACATATTTTAGTGTAAAAAAATTTTACAAAGGAACTTTTTATAAAAGTTTTAAATAAAAATTTGGTTTGAATAGATATTTTTAAAATGTTATTTTATGTATTTCATAATTTTATCGAAATTTTTTTTAATATCAAAATTTTAAAAAATTAATTAATTTTGAAGTTATTTCAAATAGCTTTTAATAAAAAATATTTTTGAAATACAACTTTTAAAAAAAACTATAATTTTAACTTTGTTTTAATCTTCAATAATGTATATTTATGTTATACTATATCAAAATTAATCTTTTAATTTATAAAAAATCAATTTAAAAAAATTTGTAATATTTTAAAATATATTTTTGTAGAATCAATTTTTAAAAATACAAAGAATACTTTTTTTTTAAAGTTAAAATAAACTGGCGCTAAAAATAAATGGGTGAAAATATGTGTCATTTTTATTTTCTCTTTTCTCTATTATTAAAATAATTTAATTAAATTAAAATATTATATTTTTAAAAAACTAATATTCTCTCTCTCCCTCATCCGCTTATTTTAATTTAATAATTCAAATTTATTTTTATATTATTACATAAAAATAATATTTTCCTAAGATATGTCATTTTTTAAAATAATATAATTTTAAAAATAATTATAATAAAAATTAAATATAATAAAGATCTAATGACCGTAAATGACATATAATATATAAATAATTTAATACTAAAATTATCAATTAAATTTATAAGGCTAACTAAAAACATATACGTTATTTTTATAAATTGGCGTAATCATAAATTAATTTCTCAAATCGAGAAAAGTTATAATTGACTGCTAATATTGCATGTTCAAAACTGATTTTTCGAATTAAAAATTTCTAATTAAATTAAAAGAGATATTATAGGATTTCATCAATGATAATAATATAATGCTTAATTGATAGTAATACTTTTATTTCACTTTAATGTATTCATACACACAACTCACCACTTCAATAACTTTTCTTTTATTTGTGCTTAACCACTTCAATAACTTTGATTTTGACTTTTGAGACACTCAACACACGACCCCACCCTATCACCTCCCTTTTTGTTACGTATGGGTTAGTGTGAATAAGACAACCATGTATCAATTATTTTTCTTCTCAGTATTGGCTCGGATTGTTTTTTAAAATTTTAAAAAATAACCTATTTTGTTAACCAATAAAAAAATAATAAATGAAACATATAATGCTATTTTTACTAAAAATATCTTTATTAAATATTGAAAATGATAATAGTAACACTCACTTTGTTTTATATATATATATATATATATATATATATATATATATATATATATATATATATATATATATATATATATATATATATATATATATATATATATATATGTGTGACGTGTGTGTGTGTGAGATATTGGATCAAACTCTAGTTAACATGTTGTCGAAATCTGCTCACATGCTGTTGTCGAAGACCTACATGCTGTAGTCGAATTGTGTTCTAGTATGTAGCTGTCAGATTGGGCCTTATGTTAAGGATCCAATTGTTTAAATTAGCTTGTAATGGGTAACTGTTAAAAAGCTAATTAGTTTAGTATGTTCGGTTTTATTATAAACAACATACTAGTCTCTCATCTTAGGTGTGGTGTGACAAAACTTAATTAAAGTGAGAGGGTTTTTTTATTATTCTTGAGTACTTGTAATATATTTGATAGAGAAAGTAAAGAATATAATTTATAATCAAGCTTTGTTGTTTTTTCTTGTTAACTCTAACTCTTGTGTGTTTCTTGCCTATAAAGAAACCTATTATATTTTGTTCTAAGGCATCCTAATTCACAACAAATTGGTGCGATGAACGTGGAGCAAGATGTCTTCAACAAAGTATGAGATTGAAAAGTTCATTTGAGTGAATGATTTCGGTCTGTGGTGCTTGAAGATGAAAGTCCTACTGGTTCAGCAGGGTTGTTTGAAAGTGTTGAAGGGAGAGGCAGCCATAGACGTCGAGTTATCGGAAAAAGAAAAGACGGCCATGATAAGCCCACAGCGCAATATTATTGAGACTTGGTAATAAAGTTCTTCAACAGGTATCAAAGGAGACTACTCCATCGAGGTTATGGTTGAAACTTGAAAGTTTGTACATGACCAAATTTCTGGTGAATTGACTCTACTTGAAGTAAGCTTTGTATTCATTCAAGATGAGTGAAGACAAAGTGTTTGCTGAGCAGTTGAATATGTTCAACAAGTTGATTCTTAATCTTGAAAATATTGATGTGAAGATCGATGATGAAGATCAAGTACTGTTGTTGTTGTGCGCTTTGCCCAGAACACATGCTCACTTCAAAAAAAACTCTCTTGTATGGAAGGGAGTCCCTGAGTTTTAAAGAAGTTCAATCTGCCTTGTATTCTAAGGACCTGAACGAACGAAAGGAGCATAAACCTTCAACGATTGGTGAAGGTTTGGCCGTTAAGGGAAAATTCTTGCAAAAGGATGGTAAGTTCGACAAGAAGAAAGGTAAAAGTCAGCAGAAGTCTTATAGTGGCGAAGCATCTGGTATTCGATGTTATCACTGTAAGACGGAAGGTCACACAAGAAAGGTGTGCTCTGAACGCCTGAAAGATCATGAAGGTAAGGATAATGGCAACACAACCATTGTTCAAGATGGCTTCGAATCATATGATGTTCTTGTGGTTTCAAGCGGCGACTCAAGAAAAGAGTGGATTATGGATTCAGGTTGCACTT